TTTCATGTATATTTGTAAGATATCGCCATTAATCATAGGATTATCGTGTACAATGTATATAAAGTATAAGTCACATTATCCAACGATGGGGTATACGATAAGAAACCGATGCGTTTTTTTTATGAAAATGGCGTGGTTGCCGGCCGGGCACCACTAGTGATCGGACGGTGACTGGGTCTTTTTTTTGCGAATCGGTGGGGTCATCGGTAGGAAATAATTCGTAGTTAAAATTCAGCGATGCCTCCAACGATGCCTCACATCGCTCCTCATCGGCAACCCATCATTAACACATCTTTCAAGGATCGGCCGATGTATGGCCGAGCATCGTCCAATATCCGTTGAATCTGAGGTCATCGGGGAGTTTAGTGGTGTTCAACAGATAACGACCAATCATCGGTCGATGTTCGACCAAACATTGGCCCGTAGTCGACCGATGTACGAAGAATGTTCACCAATGTATGAGCGATGTAATATACATCGGCCGATTATCCTGGAACATCGTTTTAGGATTAGCAATGCATCGCTGGGCCTTTGTAAGTCTGGCCGGCAACCACGCCATCTTTATCTTAAAACGCATCGGTTGCCCATCGTATACCCCATCGCTGGATAATGTGACTAATACTTTAAGGACTACTTGGCCGATGTGCACCGATGTTGGGGCATCGTTAACACCACGGATTACTACCGATTACCACCGGTCTACGGCTACCGGCCGGGAAATGTGACTTACATGTAGGCATAACGTGACACATCGTAGTCGTTCGTACGAGTATCGTAGGTAACCGCGTTAATATTTCATAATCGTAGAAATATCGTAACCAGTTTGTAACTCTGGCCATCGCCTCAGTTCGTACTTTTAAGATTGTACAAACCTCGTACTTTTTGCACAGCCATCGTAGACAAATTGTTCTAGATCTAGCAGCAAAATAATCCACACGCTCTTTAAAACTCGCAAAACTAACTTGGCGATGAACGACGATTTTTAACTTTTTTTCCCCTTATTTGTGGGCAATCGTAGCATAACAGTTTGACACGGCCTTAAAATAAACTTTAAACTACCTGGTTCATGTATAAATGTACCTTTATATTGAATGACTGATCAAGGCTTTGCTGTTTTTTAGAGGAAAGTATTCAAAAATAAAAATTTATATATTCCTATGAATAATCCTAATTTCCTGCTTTGGTTCTGCACTACCTCCACCCCCCCCCCCCCCCTCCCGATAACATAATTCGAAACAAATATGAAATATCCGAATATCCTCCTCTTGAGAATGTTTCCATATAATTAAATATGTCGGAGAGATTATGCATAACTTTGTTGTTTAAAGGATTTTTGGAAATATACACATACCTTTGATTCCAAGATTCCCGAACTAGCCACCGATCGCTGTAGGGTAAAGGTCAACTTAACTCTACACCATGTAATGAAGTTTAATGTAAGTTACATATTTTCTTGAGAGATTTCTTAAAGATACCATTCAAAGAGTAGATCAATTCTGCAATGATCAATATTTACATTTGCGCTGTTTTTCTAGTAAGGGGTTTTATTATGTTAAAACTACAATAGTTAAACTCTTAATTTTTATACCAAAAACAACTTACATTAACTTCAGTGCACATTCCAAGTTTAGGGAAAACCTCACATTCAGGTATTTTTTAGGGACCGTCTCAAATACAGGTTTATTTAATTGTTTAATTGATTGGGGGGGGGGGCAAACAGGGAAGATGTTTCAAGTTACAATTTACCATCATTTGACTACTTCAAATAGTAAATCAAGTACTTAAGTCTTTATGTATATTAACTATATTTCTGTAAAATAAAAAAATAGATATTTTTTCATTTGATTATACCGTGTTGAACGTCCCATTTCAGGAATTTTAACTCTTATTGAAAAGCGTACGTTTCTCCTGAAGGATAATTGAGAATATTGAGGAATAACAAAAAAAAATATTCATTTGAGTTCTGAAGATCATCAGGGCAATGATGGTACATAATTAAATGACATTAATGAACATTAACCTGCTTGATATGAGTACATTATTATATTTCTGTAATTGTCATTGGGACTGTGATGAATAAATAAAAAAGAGCTTAATAAGCAAATCATGTTTCTGACGCGTATTAGTTATAAAATATAAAAATAAAGTGATTTTTCAGAAATATCGAAAAAATGTTATCTTCTTTCCGATTTCTCCAACTTCCGTTAACTCTTTTCCCTGTTGTAACAAGAAAATACTTAAAACTATTATATAATGCTGACTGGTGTTTATCATATTTATTGATAGACCATTATTCAATCTTCTTTCCGATTTTTCAAGCTTCCGTTAACTCTTTTCCCTGTTGTAGCAAGAAAATACTTAAAACTATATATAATGCTGACTGGTGTTTTTCATATTCATTGTTAGACCATAATTCACACACTGATTTGCCGACGCATTTTTTCTCGTTATTTCCCGATCATGACAAGGAGCACTCGACGGTCACACTTCTCCATGCCACTTAATCCAACATTTGATGTTGTAAAGGTCTATGTTTGTTTGCACTTGAAATGTATTGTTTCATCGACTTGAGATGAAGCTTCTATACTATTCGATATTTTAAAATTTCATACTATAATTTGACTAAATTTATTCTGATGGAATTATATATTTAAAGGAAAATCTTATTATTATCCTAAAATTATAAACTCTTTCTGATTAGTTTTACATAATTCTGTTATATTTTTTTTTTCGAATTAATCTTTGGCAAGTTGTTTCAAAATATTCATCGTCGATTTTTGTTTGTATATATGTATTTTTAAGTTGATACGTTTATGGTGAAAGCATATGTGTGTATATCTATATGTCGTAACATCGTATTATTTTCAAATACCTTTGTATAAGGAGTATACACGAAGTATACACTGATATTTCACTTTGATCATTACATTACGAGTAAAATGCTATAAGAATCAATGTGGCATATATTGTTGGAAAAATAGATAACAATACGTAACCCAATTTAATTGGTATCACTATGCTTCATAATGTTTGTTTACAGTGACTGTAAAGTTTATTTTTTCTTACTCACAAAACTCTTTAAAAGATAACCTGATTACCAATCAGTTCTTTGTCATAAACGAAACATTGAAACGGAAATCCCCACTTAAAGTGAACAACAACTTAAGGCCTTCGCCACATAATGGATTGATGAGTGTGTTGTACCCTAAATGTATGAGAGGAACCGTGAAATTCAATGGTAAGAATTAGTGCTGTGCGATATTACCGGTTAACCGGTGTATCCCGATTTCATTCTTCACAATACGTATTGCGGTATTTTTTTGTGAATACCGGTTCGGGTTCGATATGCTATTAATTGTTACAAAAAGAGCTATTTCCCCTTTTCAAGGTAAAATATGGCGGCAAGCAATGTGAAGTTTGATCGGAAACCAAAGACATGTCTGTCAGAGACAAAAAGACGACAACTGTTACATATAAGCCCTTCATGTTAAAGCAGAATCTGAATATAACAACTTGATTCTTAAAGTTGTGCCACAAAAAACTTAGCTTGCCACTTACATACACACAACACGATCAGGCAGTTGCAATATCAACTCGAGAATACATGTCATTTGAGTTTGTGTTTTCATTTAACATTGATGAAAAGAAAAAAATTATTAAAAATTTTATATTGTGATATATTGCAATACAAAATATAATATTGCAATATATCGCGATACGATTTTTCAGCCGCGATACCCAGCTCTAGTAAGAATAAGATAATTTGAATTACCGTATATATATTCGCCTATAACTCGGACGTAGAGTTTTAGACCAATATCTAACTCCCAAAATACCGACTTATAGGCGAGTATATACGGTAATCAACCGAAATTTCTTATATATAACCTACATTTATTACACCCTTAATGCGTTAGGTTTTCGGGGAGTTTTTAGATCTCCCTTCAACATATGCGTTAAAGAGTTAAGCTACGTTTTGTATTTCATATGAACAAATGATCAAATATTAAACACATTCAATAAAACTTTAATTAAAATAAAATATAAATTTAAAATATTTTTCTTTGTTCAAAAAACTCACGAAATGTTTTAGGCACATTGTAATCAATACGTACATGTCAGCATGAGACGTATTTTTTTAATATATAGTATTTTTCTTTTCAATTCTGTCTTCTACTACATAAATAGCCCTCCAAAAATATCGTTTTCTAAATTTAGTCTGTGAAATGCAAAATGCACATAAATTATCAGTTATTTTCCCCGTTCCAGTCTCTGTTGTATTTTCTGATTTGGGACACTTCCTTATAATTCAAAGTACTGAAAAATTTAAGGAAAAAATGATGAAAAAACATTTTTAAAATAAACGTGAGGGGTTTACCACGAGGCACGAGGAAAGAAATAATTTTCAAAACATTTTTTTTTCCTTCTGTGATCTCTCTAAAATGCCTAACTCATAATTCCTTAGATATCCCAATCTAATATATAAAGCACATTTTAACATAACTAACATAACTGCCCAAAGTGAAGAAATATTAATATAGAAAGCACAAAGAAATTCACTTTTATATGGATACCTACTTCCGACCCAGCCCGGTGTTGAACTCTCGACCTTCGGAACCTGTCTCCTGGCAGTACAGGAACAGCACGCTAAAGCGCTCGGCTATCTAGGCAAGTTATAAAACTTGCTTTCGATAGCCCTGTTCCACACAACACAGTCATTTAGAATAGAAGTGTGATACAGTTATTTGGACTTTTGTTTTAACAGCGGATTGTTACCAATACACATTATAATGAAATTAATTATTTTCTAAATAAAGCACATTTTACAACAAATCTAAGACTTACTTAACTGCGCTTTATAAATGATAATTGATGTACTTACAACGGGTATTGGTAATATTCCTCTGTTAAAACTAATGGCCATATAACTGGATCTCACTTCTTTTCCTATATCGTATTAACCTATGGATTCGAAATACATTTCAAAATCTATTTTTTAGGGAAAGTATCAAAAGAGCATTGGACTCCAGCATGAAACCGGAATACCAATCGGTGTCCTACATACAGATATTTTCAGCGGTCTTACAGGTATGCATCCCCAACTCCTTTCTCTTGCAATAAAAAAAGCATTGGAATTAATTTATATTGTTATTAGCTTTAATTTTGAATAAGGTACAAGCGCTATGTCTTTTTGTCTTACCTTTAAAATTGCATAAATACTTTTGCCTTCAAATAAGGTTTAATCAGTAAAGCTGCTTTCTTTTTTTTTATTCGTCGTATTCAAATCGTTTATTAACTTTTTTATCATTCGTGTCGATGAAGAATCCATGACTGTTAAATGTGTAAGTTTCCGTCTAGTGAAACCCGGACGATCTCTCGATATAAACTTTTAATGACCGTGATATGCGAAATCAACATATCTTAGATATCTATAATTTTTTTTTTGAATTTGTGTTATCATTTCTTGTTATGTCTGCTGTAAGTGATTCGTCATGTTTCGAAATTTTCATTTGAGTATATTGCGTACATATTCTTGTATAATATTGATTAATTTGCTTTTATGGATTTCAGACCAAGATTATTTTATTTTTTGACATGCTTTGGGGGTGCTTATGAACTAAAATGATTAATTTAAGATTGGTGTTAGTGTATTTATTAAAAAAAATTCATTCCGTGAAGATTTCCCTTAAAAATATTTCTGCTATATATCTCCTTACATTTATTAAGACAAAATGAAAAATTACAAGGTTGACCACCAAAATGACCCTCAAGGGAAATAACTCGTAGAAATAATATATCCAATGAAAATTAGGTTTAAATAAAAGTCAAGACTTTCTACTTTAAGAGGGGCTAATTCAATAAAGAGAATTAAAATATTCGTCGCACATACATTTATTAATGACCATGAAAGGCAGTATAGTAAATTCCAAAATAAAGAGAATTAAAATATTCGTCGCAAATACATTTATTACTGACCATGAAAGGCAGTAATAGTAAATTCCAAAATATCGGCATCAAAACAACAGAAAGGAATCAATTAACATATTAATGAAATTATTAAATTTGTATTTCTATATACATGTAATACTCCCTTACTTATTAGTAATACAGTTGAAGTTTAGGCCTCTTTGCTTGTTTAAAAAGTTGTTTTGTTTATTAAGAAGGCGATTTACTGATTTAGCAACACAGTTGCAGCATATTCCTCTTTGAAAGTGTCAGACATTTTAAAATTTATCTAAGTCTTTCAAAATATATCTACTGTCAATAAAAACTATTCAAGATAGTTTTAATCCTGATATTTTTTGGCACTGAATTCCTTTCGATAATGGGACTGTTATTTTTTTTTCGTGTAAAAAATCGGTGTGAATGCATACTAAATATTTGTTTTACTAACATTACTGGGTAACCCTTAATTTACTAATAATATTGTTGCTTTTCATTTACATATAATGGATTTCTAAAGGTTTGGTATGTGATGGTTTATTACATTGTATTTATGCAAACGTTTTGAAAAACGAGCCTTCACGTGAAGGAAAAGATGCAACTAAAATAATACATACAATGTAGATTCCTTGCAATTGAACCCCCGAAAACAAAGCATTACAACATTGATCATATCAATGACGATGGTTCTATTTTTGCCAAATCATAGATAGGTAGAGCTCAAATAAACAAAAATCTAGCCTGAGCTTGAAATAATTTGAATTAAATACAGTGTGCATTTGGAAATTGACATGTGAGGAAAATAAGCTTATAAAGAATGTGTAGGGTTTTAATACTGAGAAAACTTGCATTTCTAACCTTACAGATCAAATAATAATAATTAACTGTTCTTTTCATTTTAAGATACTGAATGAGTAGGCCTCTTCATGGTTTTGTGTTTTAGGTGACAATTTCGTCAGCTTATATAGTGGATACTGAGTACTGTGGATTTTCCAAATCAACACAAAATATTTCCACATCGTGCCCTGTAAATGAATCATCATGGATTAAGGCTGCGAATGAGTTTGGTTGTTCAAATCATAACGACAAATGTGGAGGAGATTTGAAATATCACTGCCTTATTAATCCTTGGCAAAATGAAACCGTGGAAGTTTGTGCACCTGCAACAAGTATTCGTTCAGGTATCGCTGATTTTACAATTTTGAAAACTAGTTAAAGACACACTGAGGGCGATGACTCTTGCGATTTCAATTAAAGCTTTAACACATCGTTTTTAATTTTCAACGTCAAAATGATATGATTCCGATGTACTTTAACAAAATAATTTAATGCAACTGCTGATTTTAATTTCTATTTCTTCAGGAATACAAATCCCTTACCTTGATCGTGTTTGCTCTGATCTTATTTTGTACTGTTTTATGGACTTTGAGATTGAATACTGTTCGTTATTTCCATATCTTCTCACTAAGCACTTAGCGCAGAGTTCCGAAGTAAGGAGTTTATCTTAACGTTGCGGGTTCGAACCCCACTGCTGGACGTTGAAATGGATGAAAAGGTATAAACTGAAATCCCATGTCTGGCTGAAAAAGATCCTTCACTGATCAATGGCTTAAGTGCTGGGTAGAGAACAAACTTTCCAACTCTCCACCGGCTACTGGTGAAGTCTCAATAGAATTAAAAAATTCTTGGAAGGCACGTTTAAGGACAGACAAAACAAAAAACTTTTCTAGAGTTTAATTACATCTCTAAATACAAATATTACGAAAACTTGTGCTCTAGAATTGACGTCATCTCGCCTACTATGATGTGATAATGTAGCACTGATTTAGTTGAGGTAGAATATTTTGTATGCTTCCTTATCCCCCCCACCCCCCTGTGTTTTTTATTTTAAAAATCTGATAAACATAGAACAATTACTTTTTATTGTCTTCATACTGTTATACAGTACTAAAGGAAACATTTATTTTCGATGGTTGTCTGTATATGGATCTTAACATTCAAGTCCTAAAATCGGGTTCAATATTCAACAGTTCTTGAAATGTAAACTGATCCTATGCTTGTTGTTCATGATTCAAAGAAACATCATGTATTGACTGATACAGATAATATGTCAAAATTCAAGGTCATTGAGAAATAAAATTAGGGAAAATGCATAAGGACTAACAAAGGTACATATACTACCAAGAGGTCTTAAGCTTACTTTAATGCCTAGGTCACATTTCACGGCCGGTTGCCGTAGACCGGTGGTAATCTGTGGTGTTAACGATGCCCCGATATCGCTCCACATCGGTCTAGTAATCATGAAAGTATCAGTCATATTATCCAGCGATGGGTATAAGATGGGCAACCAATGCGTTTTATGATAAAAATGGCGTGTTTGCCGGTCGGACTTACAAAGGCCCAGCAATTCATTGCTAATCTTAAACCGATGTTCCAGGATAATCGGCCGATGAATATTACATTGCTCATACATTGGTGATCATCGTTCGTACATCGGTCAACTATGGGCCATTGTTTGGTCGAACATCGACCGATAATCGACCGTTATCTGTTGAACACCACTCAAACCCCCGATGACCTCAGATTCAACGGATATTGGACGATGCTCGACCATACATCGGCCGATCCTCGAAAGATGTTTTAATGATCGGTTGCCGATGAGGAGCGATGTCAGGCATCGTTGGATACATTGCTGAATTTTAACTACGAATTATTTCCTACCGATGACCCCACCGAGTCGTAAAATAGACTCAATCACCGTCCGATCACTAGTGGTGCTCGGCCGGCAACCACGCCATTTTCATTAAAAACGCATCAGTTTCTCATCGTATACCCCATCGCTGGATAATGTGACTGATACTTAAGTGTGTATTAATGCTGTTGAATTTTCGAAAAATATAGACACCTAAAATAAACAAAATTGTTTAATGTTCTAGGTCACTGTGCTGAATACAATGCACGAGGAGGAAAAATACAAGAATTTTACCGTCAGAACTGTAAAACATGCACACAGGACTACATGTCAACTGAAGCATATAAATGTATGTATTCAATATTACTTGTTCTATAAATTGTTAATGTATCACTATTCGGGGTTGCCAATTGTGTGGTATATATTTACTTTTTCTATAAATTGTAAATGTACTAAGATTCGGGGTTGCCAATTGTGTGGTATATTGCCCATTTTTTTTTACGTAAAGCTATCGTCTCATTTTAGCATTTGCGAAATCGCTTATATACAATTTATCATTACATTTCATATTCCTTTTTCACTCTTTATTTACATAGCGCTTTATCAATAATCTAACTTTCTGTTTAGCTTAGTACTTAGTATTCAGATTTTCTTTAAGGTGTTATATTACAGAAAATTTATTTTTGAAACGATTTTTCCCAAAAGAATTCTTAACTTTGTTTTGCATTTATGGTGTTAATTTTCTATGTATCTTTTCCGTTAGCCAGATCGTGACAATAAGCACACGATCGCCACCGATCGACAGGAGATGTTTACACCTCCATGGCACCTGATCCTACCTCTGACGTTTTGGAGGTCCGTGTTTGCTCTGCTCCTGATTAATATTATTGCAATTGACCATTGCTGTTAAATAATAATTACAGATATTACCCCAGTTTAGATATTTTTAAATACATTTATTGCGATGCACCATACATGTAATAATGTATAGACTTTATGGAGATCGATCAGTCGTGGGTCTTTCCATGTCTGAAAAACAAAGAAAATTACCCACCCCCATCCTAAAGAAAATTAGTAATTTTGCAGTAAACGCCCTCTCTTTTTACATTGTATCTTAAAGAACTTTTTTTTCTTTCCTTTTCCTTGTAAAGCTGTAAAATACGGTTGTCCTTTTCTTCAACAGGAAACGAATTAAAGCAACAGTTGATGCACTTGAAACCAGTTGCAGAGAATCAATTTATTTTTTTGTGTGTTTCGATTATAAAAGATGCAGACGGTACAAGATTTAGTTTTGTTTAAAGTATACCATAAATCGATCCTCAACTCAGCTATTCCTAAAACACTCACTTTAATAAATATGAGACATAGTTTCACAAGTGTAAGACGCTTAAGTTGTTACCATTTAAAGATTGAATATAAATCATGTATCATGATGAAAAGGATGCCTATGACCCTGAAATAAGTTTTGTGGCCCAATCATAATAACTAGAGACATGTATAAGAACATCTTTTACGATGAATATATGCTTATACATTAAATTTTCTTGTCAATATAAAAAGAATAACCCAATAGTTTTAGTGAATTCTAATTTAAAATTGAAGATTTTTAGCATAAAGAAACATTCAAATGGATTTCTACAATGTATTTATGCATATTTTTTATCCTGCAAAATATCAATTATATTTTTACAGACCAAGAATGTTACTTAGAGGTATATATGCAAAAAGCAATAGTGCTGCAAGAACATGTAACGCGAACAAATCAGGAACAGAAACAAGAATCAGAGCAGGCAACAAACAATGGTATAGTTAAAATTAATAATAAAGAGATTGAAACATTGAACAAGTTGAAGCAACAGTTAATACAGCAATATGGAAATCAAACAGAACAGGATATGATTGGAACATACTCTGATCAGGAAATCGAATTAAGGTAAAATTTCTTAAAGGAATGATTTACCATAGTTTATTTTAAATAAATGGAAAAAATGCAGTCTAATTATCAATACAAAGATTTCCACTGTAGGTCATCCGACTCGGGCACTTTGAATATATAAACTGTATTTTCTTTTTATGTTTATTTTGCTTGATAAATAAACAAAGTTAGAAATACATAACATGTACCGGTATCCACTTGTAATATACCTTGATCATACATTATGATTATATGTTTTTGATGTATATTTCTTTCCCTAGCAAAAAGGTTACTTATTTCACTCTTTTATTGTAACAGAGCCATGGCTAATATCAATAGTGGAGGCAGTACCACAAAATGGAATATTTTACATCTTTTTGCCATTCTACTCCATTTCAAAACTTTATTTTAAATTTATCGTCTTTGTCCTTGCCATAAGATTTTTGAATATGTATACAGTAAACATGAATGTTGCAAGGTTTCGAAGAACTTGTATCAGGGAGTTGAAGCTGAAAGAAAAGAACCCATTATAATCTAAATATTTTTTAATATTTATATATGTATGTTTTGACAATTCATTCATTTTTAACGACGACGCATTGTCAATTTACGACGAGTATTTTTACTCTTATGTCAATATATCCTGGTGAGCTTCAAATACTGTTAAAGATACCATAGAATATTACAATATTTTAAAATAAAAACGAGTTAATGGTAATCTTACAACCAAGCTCTATATTAAACGTAATGACTTTAATTAATGTTTTATATCAATCCAAAATGTTTTCTAAAATTCAACTCGTATGTCATCTAGATCAAGTGCTTTATATTTTTTTCATGCATATCCCAGTTCTTTCTCGAGACTATGTATGCTTTTACTGCTTTTTTATCTTATATCGAAGTTTTTTTGTGTAATTTATGTTTTTTTATATTATTATTCATTTTATTTACAGCTAGTCTTGTTCAAAATCTGTAGTTCTTTTATTCAATTGGTTTGTTACCTATTTTTTTTTTTACTTTTAGTCTTAGCGTAATCTATATAATACTCAAATTTATTATTTTCCAACTTACTGTTGACATGTAACGCCTCTAAAATAAAGTTGTTTTTTTTTTTGAAGATGTCTTTCAGTTGCTTACAAAACTGCTAATTTACTCAATATGCACTTTAAAATGCCCACAGATTCTCTATTTCGCTGGAAAATATAATGGATTGAATGGCCACGAAAAAGTCACCGAAAGTCGCATCTCAGTTTGTACTGGAAGATCTTTTATCTTGTTATATTTTGTGCAAGTAAATACTGTAACAATATAAACGGATTTTGTAACTCTTTGAAAACACAAATCAATAAACTTTATTTAAAAGAATTTCATTTCTTGATTATTAGTTTAAAAAATGGTAGTTTTAAGAAAAATCACAAATTCTTTTACTGGTAATTTATTACAGCACGACTATTCAATTTACTAAACAAAAATTGTTACACTTACGAGAGTTGTCCCGTAAAATCGTAGACAAGTTGTCTAGTGTGAATAATAAACATCACTGCGTTCTGAAATTTTCACTATTATTTAGTACATATTTTAGAAATATACATAGCAAATTTCAGATAAATATATGCATAAATAAACAAATTATGAGGTTTTATGCCATGTATTGTATCACCTTACGGCGCATGGTTTATAACGTCAATGTGTCTAAACCGGCGTCACGTTTTATCTTTGCTGAAAATGAAGTTGGATGAGTCCGACTTAAATCTAAGAATTTCATTGATACACACTCTTTAGTCTCCATAAACGATCGAAGAACCAATTTGCACCCTCATGCGATCTTCTGAAGATTTATTAGTAAGTTACGGACAATATTCTCACCATCATTCAACTAATATAAAATCTCATAACGGCGGTCTACAGTGACAGCGTCTTTTGCTATTACATTACATGTAGGGGTTTGTCCGTATCTTTTGTACTCCCCAGGAACTCGATTAAAAAAAACTTCGCTAAGAAAACTACCATTTCATTTGTATACTTAAGATATGGTGATATTTTCATAATCTTTGTTCTTCTATGGTCATTTCAAGTCTCTAAAGGTGTCATTACAACATCGAACTAAAACTGAACTGCTCTCCGGTGCGCCGTAACGTCATAAAACGTCGCCATTTCTCGTGTGTTGTGTTTACCACTTTCCCATTTCGAATTCTCGGGAAACTGCCAAAAATTAACCAAATGCCTTAAAAATTTTACAAAGACTACAAAATTGATTGTGGAATTGAATTAAGATAATTCTAATCCAAATCTTATGTATTTAAAACTTTCGTATTGAATTTAAACTTGTGTATTCTTTGATTTAATCTTGTTTTTTTTTTAACGGGCGCCGTAAGACTATACCCCCTGCATATTTAAGCATAATAAAATCTTTATTTTTGCCTATTCTTTATCAAAAAAATTATCTTGCACTTAAATATGATAAATAAACATTTACTGAAATTTTCAGCTTAGTGCGCCCATTACTTTTCGAGAAAAACGCTTTGTCCACGATTTTACGGGACAACCCACGTAAATGCAATGAAATTAAAGAAAGACATACGTTCATCATATAAATAACGATCAGCATTCATTAAAAAATATCGAAGTTCTTTTTTCTTTTTGGTTTAAAAGACCAAATAATTATCATATTTTCCGTCGTGATTCTTTTAAATAAGTCAGGTAAATTACATCACCGCTTACATTTAAGACTCTTTAGTTTCAAACCATCACAGCAGCATTAAGTATTCTTCTAGGCTGTTATCGTACTTGTACAGATACTTTGAGGTACAAGTACACGTTTTAGTTATTTGTATTATTGCGATTTTAATGACGTTGAATATGTATTAGCACTACAGTCTCTGTCTCAACTTTTTTAAAGGCGTTTAATGACGTCAGTTTGATTTTAATTAGAAAACAAAACATGATGTAAATACTAGCTTATGAAACTTAACATCCTATATAATGTATACAAAATGCTCCTCTCTACATATTAATTAACTATATCTATCATTAAAGTTACAAATTTTCTTTTACGTGGAGATGCCATTCTTTATGTTTTAAGAACATGTAGAATACGTTATTGATGATGTAATACGCGATGGATTTAGGGACTTCTCCCACGAAGGTACTTGTATATGGAACCGTATAAAATCCGAACCTCTCTTATGCATGTACTTCATACGTACGAATGTAAAGCAGAATAGTACTGTTTGACTTTCACGGAAGCAATTGTAACTTTTCGATATAAAATACATTTTAAGTTTAATTAATTGACCCAAAAAACCCAAACTAAATTATTTGTTGCTATTTCCCAAGCGCACAAAGAGCTTTATGTATTTTTTAAATATAAGTTGTCTTCTTCGGATAGTTTTCCCCAAATTTTTTGTCTCGTAAAGCACTTGTAAAAAACCAAAAGCAGATTATTTTTGAATTCGTATTTGGAAAATAATTAATAATAAAAGAATCTTTTCTGAATTCTTATTCTCGACAGACTGATTAATTGCATGTTGTTTATCGTTCCTCTAGAGAAGGATTAACTCATATGGAGACGCCACCACTACATATTTGGAACTATACTCGGCATTCTGAGCCATTGGGCAGGGAGGGATCTTTTTCATGCCAACACCTACTGCGACCGAGTTTTATACGGCCTTATCCGAAGGATCGGTCTCTACGTCCCACAGTGGGATTTATTTTCGACAGAAAAACTCGCTATTATCTTAATTTATTATTATCATAATTCATACGGGCACGAGTACGCTTAGTGAATGGTACGTTTCGCTTTGTGCACGGAAAGGTACGCTTTGTTCACGATACGGTACGCTTTCTGCACGGAATGGTACGGTTCGTATTTGAGGTGTAGTAGCACGGTTTAGGGTCTGTATGTATATATATGACACGCATCAACTTTAAATAAAAACACATCGCATTAATGTGTATCGGCAACACAAAATGGATAATATGGATAAGAGAGAAACAATATATAGTATTTCAATCACGTACCTTTTTTCAGAATTTCTTGATTAGTATACCCGCGTCTCTTTATTCACAAACTGAATAAAATTGCAGAGTATTTTTATTTCAAGTATGTAGATATGTATAAATAATATTGACGTTCGTACATGTATATCCTATAACCGTTAAAAACTAATACAGGTTATTCCAATTAAGAAGTAATAAAATCAATTTTCTATGACGCTTTCATACAATCCGTTATAAGTCAGTCTCGTGGTACATTGGAAAGGGAGTTTGTTTAAGGATTTTTACGTCGCAGGTTCGTATCCCACTGCAGGACATGGAAACCGATCCTATGGGTAAGACCGTACAAGCAAAGGTCCTGTATCACATTAAGTACAGTTAGTGTTGGAAGGAAAAAAACATCACAGCTAAGTGACCCTGAGAACCGATTAAAGGTCAATGATTATAGCCCTCCATCGACAAAAGAGAGCGTCTACATATGAGGGAAAGTTTTCGAGAGGGAAGTTAATTACAGACCGTATACCGTGCTACTACACCTCAGTACCGTACCGTTCCGTGCAGAAAGCGCACCGTACTGTGAACAAAGTGTACCGTTCCATGCACAAAACGAACCGTTCCGTTTACAAAGAGTATTGTACCGTCCACAAAGCGAACCGTTCCGTGCACAAAGCGTACCGTATCGTCCACAAAGCGAACCGTTCGTTCACAAAGCGTACCGTACCGTCCACAAAGCGTACCGCTCCGTGCAAGAAACGAATCGTTCCGGTCTTTGGTTAATTATGCAAACCACGCCCCAAATGATTCTTGAATCGTGTAATGACCAAATAAGTCTTTTTGGTTTATTTCTCGCTACGACGCCTGTGAAAGGAGGACGTTCATCGAGTGTCATGCATTTGGGCCTTCAAATGTAAAAATAAAAAAAAACTTGCCGAAGCAAACTACAACTTCAAAACAACTAGACAGAGTGCGAGACGATTCCTTGTTTGATATAAATTAGATCAACTGGTTGTGGTCAAAGGTACAGTACAGGCCACGAGTTTTTCCCGCAAAACACGAACATGACTAGGCACAGTGGGTCTCGAACAATGTCGGCGTCCTTGGAGTCTTTCATTTTCTTAGTATTATCAAATTAAATCAATTTCCTTTTGAAATATTAGTTGTTTTAAATATTCGAAATTTAACTATACATATATTTAAACTAATATTATAAGATGTCCAAAAATTCAATATAATCGTGCTCATGCAGAGGAAAAAAAACCTCTTTAAATGCGTACATGTACATGTTTTATAATCCTATAATTATATTTGACATAAAAAAAAGGTTCAATAGACTCTAATACCACTAAAATAGAACACGCTTTCATGAATTAATTCCCTGGTTGTCTCTAATTTTGATTTTAATTTTGCTCATTTAAATTATTCAATCTTATCGGAAACACGATCGTATTTGTCGTAAGTATGCATTGATATGTAGTACATATCAGATGCGCGTGATTTTACTAAAGAATTATTTTTTAAGAATTGTAAAACATATATAAACTGTCTAGGGTAAAATGTAAAAAAAAAGATACGTATTAGACTCTCATATTAATTCAGTTAAGATTTTTACTATAGGCGAATCATAAGTGGAGTTATACTTACACTGAAAACCTGTAATCATGTAAAATATGGATTAAAATATTACATGCGGTAAACATGAATATTTCTACTGAACAGACAGAAATGATAATCTAACTAATACAACTGTGATCAAATAAAATGTGCAAACTGCAATATAAATATCACTTCATTCTGAAATACATCTTATGAAAAATGGAAAAAAAACAGTTTGCGAAAATATAAAGATATTATATGGTTTGCTACACTGTACCCCATCCCCTTTCTAGAAAGCAATACAAATTAGCTTGCTAAAAATTGACATTTTCCTATATAATCCTATAGTAAATGTGCATGTATTTTGAGACGGTCCCTCAAAAATACCTGGACGGTAGATTTCCCCCAAACTTTGCATGCACACTGAAGTTAATGTAAGTTATATATGGTATAAAAATGAAGAGTTTCGCTATTGTAGTTTTCCCACAATAAAACTATAGTCGGCCCCCTTAAATTAATTGTCCAACTATTTAATGAAGTAAACTTTGAAAAATTCTTTGAATATTGAAAATACACAAATATCGTTAATATAAAAAGACCGAGAATGAATCCCTCCTAAACATTAACGATAAACGCAGCGTACCAACGACACATTGGATTTGTCCTGGTTTGTTCAAAGACAAGAAAGACTATCAGGTTTAGAATTGTGAATTTGATGTTTGTAAGACAGGAGCAGGAGATATGTGTTTTCTTCCTATCATCGCAACCGAAAC